GTGGGGTTCCCACGGAAACCGTTCATTTTTCCGGGATGAAAAGTACCTGTTATTTGATAGGCAATATAAGGTATCAGAATGTTAAATTTTACTAAATTAGGTGCATAAGTTGTTGTGTACTAAGCTGTATAAGATAGTATAGTTTTTTTAACTAACCCAAGGAAACTCTTTAATTTTCTAGGGATGAAAAGTATCTAAGATGTTGACCGGGGATATAAGGTACCACCATGCAAAATTTCATTTAAATCGGTCCAACAGTTTCGGAGATTAGCCCGTACAAACATACAAACAGACAAACTGACAAACAGACATACAGGCAAACAGACATTTTTTTTAATAACTATTGTTTTGGAGTGTATATTGTGTACATAATACGTTACAAACAAAAAAAACAGATCTATCCCACGGAAACCGTTCATTTTTCCAAGATGAAAAGTAACCTGTTGTTTGACCGCCAACATAAGGTATCAGCATGCCAAATTTTACTAAATTAGGTGCATAAGTTTTTGTGTACTAAGCTGTATAAGTTACTATAGTTCTTTAACTATCTCCACGGGAACTCTTTAATTTTCCGGAATGAAAAGTATCTTACATGTTGACCGAGGATATAAGGTACGACCATGCAAAATTTCATTTAAATCGGTCCAATAGATTCGGAGATTAGCCCGTACAAACAGACAAATAGACAGAGAAACAAAAAAATTGAAAAAAATCTGGATTTGATCTATTTGTCTTGTTACATCTCCCTGACTCGGTTTTTAGCATTTTTTTTTGCTATGTACACACATTCGACCTCTACTGTTTTATTATAGTATAGATATACAGATAAGGATATGTGAAAATCAGTTCAATCAGGTAATAATGTTGAATCAATTAGCAAACTCAATACATTTAGTTTGGATTTATCAACACGCACAATTAAAAACAAACCCCTTATAATACCACTCGCGTCTGTCTATTTGTGATAGAGACTAAACAGATACAATATATGATTCCATTTTTTTTTGCACAATTTACAAGAACGCACTACCTGGTGGCTTATTTCCTACATATACAACCTATTCGTTGCATCCCAAGACTTACATGCATGCCAAACAGTTTTAGCATTAACATTACACTTAAGACTGTTGACTTGGGCAGCGTCAATCAGGTACACCCCCAAAATACCGAATACCGGTCAATCCATACTTAATATTATAAATGTGAAAATGTGTTTGTCCTTCTTTCACGTCGAAACGGAGTGATGGATTGGCGTGATTTTTTGTGTGAAGAGTGACCTAGACTACTTTTTACCGCGGGAGATTAACTAATTCCCACGGGAAAACACGATGTAATACAATTCAAAAAATATTTATGATCAGAAATACTTGTAACTTGGTATTAATGCTCTTCAATACAATTAAATAAATACGTGTTTTAAAATTTTTGAAATTCATCCTATAAGGGGGTAATTTTGTATGAAACTACATAGCGTGAGCGAAGCCGCGGGTTCTACTAGTATTATATAAATACATAAATAATATTATATTTAAGAATATTTTATATAAGACCTATATATATAAGTGGCGACAACAATTGATCAAGAGGTCATGATCATGTAACATTGTAATTTGTCAACAGATCCTGACACAAGAATAGTTACTGTAACTGTTTTGTAATATAATCATTACATTCGCATGACTAATGATTTTATACATATCATAAAAATAAAACAAAGGTGTACATTGTACATCCTAATCCTTTAAAGTGGAGCACTCAGTGGTTAGTAATGAAAAAACGTTATCAGCGTTAGTTAATGCAAAATTATCAACATAAAATTAACATTTTGCTACAAAATTTAAAAGATGCTGACAAACGCTTAATTACGCTAGATTCATTCGAATGCATCCCTTGGTTTCTTTTTGGCTTTTTTTATTGCTTTATTTCCATTTAATCTATACTAATATTATTAAGAGGTAAATTTTGTAAGTTTGTGACGTTGTAGGGGGTAATCTCTGGATCTACTGAATCGATTAAGATGAAATTTGGTAAGAAGATAGTTTGACACCTTGGGAAGGACATAGGATATTTTACTTTTCATCCCGGAAATCATCTCTTAAGGGGATGAAAATGGGGATGAAAGTTTGTACAGAGAAACAAGCTAGGGACGAACCCGAGCAAAGCGAGGGTGGTTCGCTAGTATATGTATAAAACCATAGATGCACAGTTCCTAACAAAAATCTCTTCAAAAAGTGGCGTCATAATATGACGTTAAGTCAAACCAAAGAATAAAACCCAAAAAATCGTAAGTTCTTATTGTATTAATACAAATTGAAATAACGTGTATAAGAACAATGTGAGTTATGTCACGTTTTTAAACGTTTTTACGCCTTCTAAAAACCATTGGCCTTTAGGAGTCAGCTAGAATAAAAGCTACGTAGAGTCGTTGTTAAATTTTTTTAGTTTTAAGAAAATTTGCAACTCGATAATACTCCCGTAAAAATCCGTAAAAATAAGAACAGAGTTACGTGTGTTAGTCGACTAAGTATAAAAAGAGATTTTAATATAATGTTTTTATACCAAACAAGCAGTATATAGCTTAAAATTTGTCGTATAATATCTCGACCGGCATGTAATGTAAAAACGAATTAAATAAAAATAGAAATATTCTCATAATTCTTTCTTAGATTTACGCGAATGTTTGACATTATTAAATAAAACTATCTTTTCGGATTATTTCGCGGATTTATTTTGATTTTTGGTTCCCGACGTTTCGAATGCTTTACAGCATCCATGGTCACGGGAGAGACTGAGGTGTTACATGTCTTAAAGATATAGTTGTTACAGACAGCCTACCCACAATCAACAAAATGAAAATTGCACCAATTACATTACAATATTTTAACTTTAAACATTTTTATAATTTTAATTATAATTGAATATGGAAAATTATTTATTTAATTTTTGCTATTATTTTTATAATTATTACAATTTTAAAAATATTAATTAGTAATCTATAATTAGTGTTGCCATTATTATATTTATAACCATAAAGAAAAATATAAAATATAGTATTAATTATTTAAGCCATATAATTTTTCAATGTGTAATTTAAAAAGTTAAAATTAATTAAGGATTATAATTTTAATTTAGTTTGCTATTATTTAAAAACAACTTACTATTATTATTATTAATGTTGGGTGTGGTGCCGAGGTCGGCCCTAGCTACGTCGACCAGTTTTGGTCCATTGTAGCTCCCTTTATAGTGAGTTCAAAGTTCTCCGCTTAGTCCTGTTGACTCCAGGAACTTCCAGATTTTCTGAGCGGGGAGCATCTGTATCTCTTCCGGTTGCATAATATGCTGCCCTAGATAGATACTTCTGCGGTGCATGAGTGGACCGCACGAGCAGAGGATATGCATAGCAGTTTCCTCTGTCTCATGGCATAGTCTGCACATTGCGGTCTGACTGAGGCCGAGGGTAAACATATGTTTATTGAGTTTGCAGTGACCAGTAAGTATTCTGGTTACTGCACTGGTTTTATACTTGTTGAGTTGAAGCAACTCTTTTGTAAACTTTTTGCGATATCCCTTAATTAGCGCTTTAGAGTGTATTTGTCCAGAAGTGGATTGCCACTCTTGAAGTGCTTGGCGATTGCAGTGAATTTTGAGAATTGAATAGGCATGTTGTTTTGCAATGCCACAGAATGGTTCTGGGCCACAATCTGGGGTTTCAGCGCCCCTTCTTGCCAATGCATCAGCCTTTTCATTCCCATCTATGCCTGAGTGACCCGGGACCCATCTGAGGGTAACTCTGTTGGATGTGCCCAGGACATTCAGATTATCCATACAGTCTTTGACCAACTTAGAGTTGGTCAAAGACTTACACAACAACTTACTAAGCAACACTATTAATTATTTTACTTATACTTTTACAAATGAAAAATATTAATCTGATAAGCTGTCATTTTGATCTACACAGTATGAACTTACTACATCTGCCTGTCTGTTATGTTTATATTTATTATTTGATTTTATTATATTAATAACAGGATCCCATGACGATGGTAGTACCCAGCCATCTTCCCTATTGAAATTTGGATGTTTTTTAATTTCTATGGCTTCTCGAATCATTCTAGGGCGATATCGGTTTTCTTTCGCCAGGATTGTAGGTCTATCGAAACGAATATAATGGCTTGGGCGGTCCTGGCTATGTTTGCAGAACAATTTTCTGCGTCAAATTGGTGCGTGTAACCTTTACGCGCTGTTGAAGTAAAGTTCTTAGGCAAATATCGCAATTAAAATAAAACAAATCAATATAATATTATATATCATTTGTCAGACAATAACAACGGTTACCATGGCAACAAACGTTCGCCTCGCCCGATCACACCTGTCGTAACGCTCTCGTCACACATTCACCAGCTTACTCCCCAAGTCAAGCATGTGTAAAGAAGTTTTACTTCAATAATTACACATACATGAACTAACATTTTTATTTATCCAAAATATTGTACGATATTCCTTTCACTTTTAAGGTTCTAAATGCATAATTTTTTTACATTTTTGTAACGAATACTTTGACATTTCAGGCGTGCGCTCAGTAGCTCTTGCATTTCGAGACTGAAAAGAGCGCACAATTCAAATTGTGTACTCTTTTTTGATGACACTTTGAGACGCTGACTGTGTATCTTTTGTATATCAATGTTTAATAAAAAAACTGCTTAAGCAGCGCACGTCGATGAACATTTATGTTATACATATTTATGAATTAACAAAGTTTTTTCAATTATGATTTCTGACAGTGACAGTTCAGTAAACTCATTTTTATCGGAATGAAAAATAGCTACAATATCTATGTTTTACGCCTTTTAATGTTTTTTAATGCTCTAGCATTCGGCGGTGTTCGAGTCTAGCCTATTAGTGATAGATACCTTTGATACCTTTCAGAATCATATCATAGTTTCAGTTTTAGTAAAAACTTACAAACGTTAATTTATAATATAAGTATAGATTAGACTTACCAGTTCTCGTGCAGTCGGGCTTGCCGTTCCTTACTGAGGTGTCGGGCAGGGGCTTTCCGTCCGGCGTGACACACCAGCAGCCCGCGGCGGCGCCGGCGGCCGCGCACTGTACGGCGGCGTACGTGCCGTCCGCGCGGCACCGCGGCACGAAAGTCGCGCGCCGCCCGCCCGCGCTCAACGCGTACCGCAGCACCGTCAAACACGATGACTGACCCTCTAACGTTGTATAAACAAGTGTTTTGGCGATTATAACAAAACTCTAATTATTTTATTCAGTATCGTCAAAAATACTGACTGACCCTCGGACAGTACATAAACTACTGTTTTTGCAACGTTATGCCTAATGCACGCATAACGCAGTACGAGCATACTGCAGTAGGTATCGTCAAATGTACTGACTCTCTGACTATACATAAACTACTATTTTTATGGCTCTATGGTTATTGGTTATCTATACATACATATACCTAATAAAATTCTGAGTCGAATCTGTACATTAAATATTTTTTGGAAAATCTTATTGAAACAGTCATTATAGCGATGCAGAGGCCGAATCTATAGTTTTTAATTTTTTTGTCTGAATGTTTGTCTGGGAACGCTTGACGAGAAAACCACTGGACAGATTTTGATGAAATTTAGTATGATGATAGCTGGTATCCGGGTCAACCTATAGGATACTACTACTTACGTACTAAAATATCTCATCTCTGAGAAATCTAAACTAAATGTAAAAACGTAATGTGTCGCATCGCTAGCGTGTGAATAAGGTTACACTTTGCTGTGTAACTCTTTTATTTAAATCTATATTTTTGTGTAATTTTATTATATAAAGAATTAGATAGCTATTACTGGCTTAATTATTTTAATATGTTACGCATAAGTTATAAATTGATATATGTGGTGCTCCGTGCTCCAGATAATAATCAATTTATTATAGATTTCATCTAAATCCATTTCATCCAGCCTTTTTAGCGTAAAGGAGCGCGCATTTATAATAATAATTAAAATATGTGTGGATAATAATTTTAAAATATTTCTAAGTCATTCTTAAAAAGTCAATTTCAAAAGAAATTTTCTCAAAGAGCTCAAATCTAAGATATTTCTTTTAGAATAATTAAATATTATAGGCCAAATAATAACTCACCTATACAGGGACCTCTATGTGCTATCGTTACCGTTTCTCCGGCACATTGAGCTTTCATAAGGTGACATTTAGATGGATATTTACGGCCATCTGTTCCACAGACCGGCCTGTTGGCGTTGCTTGTGTTTGCTTCACATGCAGAAACTCTATGGTGGCAAGCTTCGTTATTTTGTGTAATTGCCTGTTACATAGAAAATATAATAGCAACGGAAAAATTTAAATAAAACTTCATAGAACAGTTGTCATTCATAACACTAATATAATTTACAAAAATAAAATAAAAACCGACTGCGTAAAAAGCGAACTAAAAGGATGAGAATAAGTTGACAATGGGCATAGTATTATAGTTATACTCGTACAGTCGGAGTCATACACACACAGCTATTATAAAACATGTACATTACATGAATTTTTTGTTTTTTTTTTTACAGCCTTTTAATTTTGATCAATTAAATATTTTATTTAACAATTTCTTGTCCCAAATTACCATAAGTTGTATATAATTATTATTCTTTTGTAATCGCCTCTTAGAATCCTGTATATTGACGACCCACTCGATTGATTCGAGCGAAAAAAAATTTTTCAAGAGACAAATCGGCGCCTGGGATCCGCCATTTTGCTTTTTAATGATATCTTTATACCCTATGATACTTGCATTTTCAAAACGAATTGAACGACGTATGAAACATCAAAAGCCGTTTAGTAATTACGAGGGAACATAGGGTCGGACATACATACGTACAGGTTAAACACATAAACCTCTTTTGGGCTTCGCCGCAGTCGAGTAAAAAGGTGCAGTCGTCATTTTTTTTTAAGTTTTTACAACTACGGCGGCTGACAGGTATTGTTCGCTGTAGCTTACAGTTAGGAGGTAAACGCGTCTGATCAAAACAATACTCGTGAAAGTGTTGCTCCAAATAAAACACTCCAAGTGTTAAAATAAACATCGAGCTTTAACATAACAGAAGCTGAGAGGATGTGCTTGATTACCTCTCGTTTCTATCAACTCCGGAATTAGTCTTTTATTTTACATGCTTTAGTTTTAACTGTGATTTGTGAAATTAACTACTATATTATATATCATAATAAATATAAAGTAAAAGCTAGTACTTTTTTTTAGTTTCTATGGACAGAAATTGATCGTCACTACTAATGCAAGAAGTCTTAATCTAAAATTATTAGCTGTATTATTTATCTTTTCCATAGTTTATGAACCAAAAACTAACACAGGCTATTTTTTGGCCAGATTGCAGCAAGTTAGTGATACATGTATGTAGGCAAAAACTTGGAACTAATAAATAAAAATAAAAAGAATAAAGAGTATGTATATATATTCATCTTTTGAAGAAATCAAGATTGTTTCACGTTCCAGATTTCATATTTTTGGGCACGAATCATACCTTAGGTAGGTATGATGCAACACTAAACTACAAATCCTAAAAGGTCAAAACTAATAAATTTAGAAGACTATTTATTGTTCTTTTCCTATTGAACAAAAACAATTCTTTTATAGGTAATTTATAATCCCTATATTAGTTTCCCAGCTTAGCCTACACAAACAGTACAACCAGACTAAAGCGGTGAGAGACTTTAATTTATAATATGTATAGATATAGATGTATGGAGTTATATTAATCCGCTATTTATATTCAGTTCACAACAATAGATCCTGAACGTGTACGTATCGCTAGCTGCCAATTCGCCTGGCAAAGGCTAGATTATAATTTATTAGCCATTTTAAAAGCTTTTGATACATTTTCTGTGAAACTTCACAATAGTAAGTTTATATTTATGCATCCCGCAATATATGATCGTATTTGTATAAAATCGTATAAGACAGCGATTAATTCCTCAACGACCACGGACACGCCGGCGTTACAGTTAACAATAGATTTCTTTGAAATTTAATTAATTTATTAGAAATTTACCTGGAGGTGTATGGGTACTCTATCGATTTTCAATAGATATTATTTTCTGTAGATGCGACCTATGACAATGTAACTATTAACTTGGCTATTATTAAATATTTACTACTTTACTTTACTTTTTAATACGTAAATTACGTGTTATTATAGAATAGGCCGATAAGATTTATAAAATAATTTTCAGAGTTTATTAATTGTAAATGAGTTTGGTGTTTTTTAGACATACGAGATTATTCCAAGGACGTAAATACAAACGTAAAGGCTAAATCGATTTCGATATAGATATTTGATCTTCATTATATCCTGTTTTACTTTATTTATTAAGTGCAATACCATACAAAGAAAATAATTGAAGGTTAATATTTTATCAATTTTAATAATACTATTATATTTTATAATTGTATGTAGTTTGTAATCTACAGTATAAGAGATTATTGATGCTGCGTTCTTTTTAACCGACTTCCAAAAAGGAGGAGGTTCTCAATTTATCGGAATCTTTTTTTTATGTATGTTCACCGATTACTCGAAGACGCTTGAACCGATTTGGTAGTTTTTTTTTTTGTTTCAAAGGGATACTTCACAGGTGGTCCCAAATAAGTTTTATCGAAATCAGTCGAGCGGTTTTTAAAAAAATCAAAAATAAATCTTTTTTTAAATATATTGTTTTATCGAATATGTTATTAAAAAAAATTCCTCTTACAAATTACTTGCTTATACGTCTACACTAAAAATGAAAATAATAAAATAAAAAAAACCGACTTCCAGGCACTAAAATGTAAAAAATAACTAAACGGTGGTTTTCATTTAGAATAGATACCTAATCAGATATTTTCGAAGTCGGTGCCAACCTACAATATTTTATGATATGAATATTTAATACGTAAATATCTATTTTACGTATCGAAATATATTATATTTGCTTTGCATCGGCTGGAACCGACTTTGAAAATATCTGATTAGGTATCTATTCTAAATGAAAACCACCGTTTAGTTATTTTTCACATTTTAGTGCCTGGAAGTCGGTTCTTATTTTTTATATGTAGTATTTTTAAGATACCAGGTCATGCGCAGTGCGCTGCTTGTAGTTAGGTGCGATACGATGTTAAACTTCTGCCAAGTAATAAGTCTGAATGTCTCTGTTGTTCATCAGGAATTCCGTATGCATTTGTTTATTCTAAGAGATTTCCCCATAGGCCAGTTAAAATTTATTCAGATATCCATGTTCTAACGCTAGTATTTTACTATTTCTTTAGTTACTAAAACTTAATCAATGTAAATATCACGTCTTCTTTAGTATTTACGACATAAACTATGCCATCGATTATAATACGACTAATTATGCATTCCGTCGTAGTGGCGCCTAAGGCCTAAGCCAGTGATGCTCATCTTGCTTGCAGATTAGTAGGTAGTTAGGTACCTATAAAATATTTGTTTATTTAATAAAAACTTTGATTATACTACTACGATTCTAGGAACTAGTTCTACATCAATACTTACGTCTTCAAATATATTAAACGAAATAAAACTATACAGCTTGAGATTAACGGATCGGTAATAAATAACATAATGTCGATTGATCGGATATTATAAAACAAAAAAATATTTTTATAATACTTACCAATATAAAATTAATTGATAATTTAAATTATTTTTTATTTATAAAAATATACTATTTTTTTTATAAATTCTAGGCCGTGATCATACTTAATTGAAAATTATTACAATTGCACATTTCTTCGATCAACAATACTACTGTTGATCGAAGGGACACTTTAATAAAAACAATTTACTACGTTATAATTAAAAAAATAATATTCGTTGTACCTATTTACATAATAAGTGAAAACTTAACCGCATTTTATAGGATGTGCTGTTATTGTTTAACAGGGTATTCTACTATTTCCGTGACGACGTTTAAAGATCGAACGTCGAACGACTTAAAAGAAATCGGAAATTAATATTAAAGAATAGAAGTTTTCAATATCTCAAAAAATTCAAATACTTCAAGTTTTTAGTTTCAAATATATTTAAATAGTCATATCAAATAACAAATAAAATACATAGGTACAATATTTAAATAAGCATTGCGCTTGATGCAAAGTCGATAATAGAGATTTTCTCGCTCCACATAATGTGATAAAATGTTGATTGCCCGTTTTTATTAGAACATAATATATAAACATTCGCATCTAAATATGTATCGTTATTTTGTGAAAATTTAATACCATAGTATGAAATACCATGATCTCTCGGTCCTCGCGCTTTTGTGAAACTTTTCCTAAAATATTAATTGATTTAAAATTGAATTGATTTGAATAATGATATGAACATAGGAAAGATGTAAAAAGGAAGTAACTAAATAATTTATCGTTATTTATAGTTACAAAAAGGAAATGAGGGAATATTTTCGTTTGACAAGATTTAATTTTACAAGAAGAATTTAAGGTTTTCAGCATTTTAAATATCACAAACTACCCATTAAAATTACTTAATAATTTTAGATACTCTAAGGTATATTTTCATCTTATTTTGAATGTTACTAAGTAGAAAGTAGAGTAGAGAAAATAGTGTTAAAATGAAAGGGTTACAAACAAAAAAGTTATATCTTTAGATTTATAGGACGTTCCAAGGAGTATTAATTAAACTCGTAAGAACTAGGTACTATTTTAACCGACGAAAATAAAGCGGGAGGTTCTCAATTCGACACGTATATTTTTTTTGTTTGACCACAAAACTTTGTGCACTTTCAGTGTAGTCCGATTTCGATGATTTTTTTTTATTGTATAGGGCATGTACCTCAAAGTTGGTCACACTTAAATTAAAAAAAAATCTACTCCTAGTGTAGAAAATAGGGGATTTTGAATTTGATTGATTTTTCACCAACAGATTTTTTAAAAACATTCTTACTTTGCTACTGCTGTATCTTTAATTTTAGAGCAACCTATCACATCAGTCAAATACACATAGAACAAGATCAAGCAGTTAAGTTTAAATTAGCAATAATAAAGATAATATCTCATTGAATGTTTTCAACGTTCAACGTTTACAACGCGTAAACAAAACAATATGTTATGTTTGATAAAATTATATACTATAAATGGCAGTGCTTAGTGCCAAAACAAACTAGAATGCAGTGTTTTTAGAAATAAATAAAAATTACCTTTCCTTCGGGAACAGCGCTGGTAACATAATAAATAAAATTAAAAATAATAATGTAAACCACTAAGAGATTGATAATCATAATGCTAATTTAGAGATTTTATTAAAATACTGTAAAGTTGAAGATCTTTCATATATTTTTTTATTTACAACATTCATTCACTATACAAAATTAAACTTTCATTGATAATAAGAACTAAAAATGCCTTTTTCAATATCATTTTGACATGTTAAATCCTAATAAAACGTTAAATTGCTTTGTTTTATAACACTAAATGATAAAATATAATAACCGTAGCAAAAGCGTTAGGCAAAAGAGAGAGTTACGAACTGAGTAAAGTACAATAAGGATAAATCCCGGTGCCGGGTCGCCTAACCACGAGCAAAAAGCGCACACGCACCCCACCCAACGTCTGTTTGTACGTTTCGTTTATCAATATTGGTCTCGATGTTCGCTGCATTTCTTTGACTTTAGAAAGATATCATATGAATCAAAAGGTATGAAATATGTAATAAAATTTAATAAAATATTATTTAGTGATGTAAATTTTAATGTTATACAACGTCTATCTTTTATCATCTAAATATTTCTAAACGTAAATTTTGGTAATATTAAAGTAACTGTGAATAACTGAACGTGTTTTAACTTTTATGTTTATTGTTTTCACTTTTCAACGTTTAATGTCAAATTAATATGACTTAGGTATTAAATAATTTATAATACTATTTTCTTATAGACTATTAAGGATTTTATAAGTAATACTTACCTATTAGATCAAAATCTCGTTTTGAATGGCAACTTTAAAATGGTATTATGACCTATTGCACTAACATTTATGTGGTAATAAATAAAAGCTTACCACGATGAAATTTATTAAAAAAAATATTAACTAGTGCCATATAGTACGAAAAAATATTTTGGTAAGTTGTACATTGACATATGTATAATAAGTTTATACAGTTTAACAATGCTAAAATTTTGCAATACTTGCAATGGGCGCAAGTTTTTATAGCATAAATAAAAGTAGTTGCAAAATATTCAGAATATTTCATTTAATGTTGAGTATGTTGTTCTGTAATGATATTTTATAGTGTGGAGATGAAAGTGTTAAAACTTTTATTGACATTCATTACTCTAAGTTTTCTTATATTATCTATTGTCAAGAGTGCTAAAAAGACCAAAAAATATAAATTTCATACTAAAGAACTCCAATATCAAAAAACAATTTGTTTAAAATTAGACCAAACATTAAAAGGTATTTTATTTCAATATCTGTAATATTAAAAAAAAAAATTAATGTACATTTATCTTTTTTATAGCTCGTCACAAGTCATGTTTTCTTCGTCCTGATACTGGACCTTGTAGAGCTGATATTATTCAATGGTATTTTGATGTGAGGAAGACAAAATGTTACCGTTTCTTTTGGGGTGGTTGTCAGGGTAATGGAAACAGATATGAAACTAAACAAGACTGTGAAAACTACTGTGTATTGAACACAACATATTCTCAAAGTTTGTATTGTACTAAGTATTGTGCAGACATTGAACTTTTTGTTAACACATATACATCATAAGTATCTCTAAGTGATGAACATAGTTCTTTCATCCTTAATCACTCTTTTTATGGCATGATAGTGCATGCTGAATGAAGAAAGAAAAGTGAATTTAATTTAAATTGATTGTAAAAAAATATGTATGTATATGACAGTTGAATTAAGACACGATATGTATAGATAATGTTTAGTAGTGGTAGCCCAGTGGTAACTTGGGAAACCGAGTGAAGCGGGTTCAAATCCCGGGTCTCGCACCTCTGATATTTTCATGTGCGAATCATTTCTAACATGATTACCACTTGCCTTACGGTGAAGGAAAAACATTGTGAGGAAACCTGCATGTCTGAGAGAACCTAGCAAGTTTTCGAAAGACATGTGAAGTCCGCCAAACCCGCACTTGGCCAGCATGGTGGACTATGGCCTGAACCCTTCGTATTGAAGGGAGGCCCGTGCCCAGTAGTAGGACGTTAAAAAGGGCTGAATACATACAATACAATGTTTAGACACAATGTAGACAATTATGCTAAGTTTTACATATTGAAAATTTTCAATTGTTAATTTGTATAAAATATGACTATATAATATACTAGCAGAACCCGCGGCTTCGCTTACTAAGAAATATCTAAAAAGAAAGTTTTAGTTATAGAATGAATTTCGAAAAATGCTAAAACACGTATTTATTTAATTTTATTGATTAGCATTAATGCCAAGTTTCAAGTAATTCTCATCATAAATATTTTTTTGGATTGTATTATAACGTGTTTTCCCGTGGGAATTATATATATATATATATTAGAGATGTGCCGACTACGACTTAGGCCGACTAGCCGACTAGTCTAGTAGTAGTAGATCTTTGCTTCGGAGGATTTCCCTGATGCTTCGTTTACCGCTGATTCGCGCCAAGTCGCAGCCGCCGCCCGCGAACGTGTCAGAATCTGTTTTGTTTACTTCGCATTGTTTCTTGAATTTTGCTGTTGTGGGGGTTTTTATGTAAAAAATATTTTTTTGTAAAGTTAATAGTGTTATTGTTCATTAAAGTGTAAAAGTTAAATTTTAATTAAAAAATTTAATAATGTCAAAAAGAAAGTCTCGTATATAGATTTTTTTCGAACAATTGGACAATGATTCCCGCAAAGTCAAGTGTAACCAATGCCAAATGATAATTTCTCGTGGCGGGCATGGGAATACAGCTAATACTACAAGTATGAACAACCATATTAAATACTGACATCCAAGCCTGATTGATACCTCAGTTAAGTTCTTCGATAAAATGTTTGACCATAGACGATTCTCGCAGTCGCACATCCAAGCAGAACTACCTTCAACAGTACCTATTCCGTCAACTTCAATTCAAAATTCAAAATATTTTATTCAGTATTAAATATTACATTTTTTTACTGAACGTCATGAGTCCACTGCCAGTTCGGAAAGAAGAAGCCTCAGACCTGAGAAGAACTGGCGAAAGAAACTCAGCGGGACTAATATTAACTTGTTATCTTTTTTTAAAGTAAAATTATAATTTACAATATTTCTATCAAGTTGAAGTAGCCTGGAGGCGATCATTTCATTCCCAAGGTGTGCTATCTTCTATAAAATCATTTATTGTATAATAGCTTTTTTAGCACACAAATGTTCTTTAACATTTTTTTTAAATTTGGCGATAGAAGCCTTTTGAACATTTTCTGGGATCCTGTTGTACAAGCGTATACATTGTCCATAAAAGAATTACTGACTCTGTGTAGACGAGTCACAGGCATTACAAGTTTGTGATAGCTCCTAGTATTAATGTTATGCATATCACACTTCTTGGAAAATTCGTGTATATTTGTACGGACATACATAAATTTTTTGTACACGTACTGAGAAGCAACAGTCAATATTTTTATTTCTTTAAACTTATCTCTTAATGACACTCTAGGACCTAAACTATAAATTGCACAAATAGCTCTTTTCTGCAAGACAAAAATTGTATTAATAGCAGCTGCATTTCCCCATAGTAAAATACCATAAGACATAATACTATGAAAATAACTAAAATATACTATGCGAGCTGTATCTACATCAGTAAGAAGTCTTATTTTATTACCGCGAACGCTGCAGAGCTGAGTCTACTCGCTAGCCCCTCAATATGGAGGCCCCACTGCTATTTCGAATCTATAATAATACCTAGGAATTTAGCGGACTCTACAGGTTTTAACACTTCGCCATATAATATTACACCATCGTCAACAAGTTTGAGATTAGGTATTGAGAATTTTATTAATTTTGTCTTTTTATTATTTAATAATAAATTATTTGAATCAAACCAATAGACAACCTTTGAGAGAGCATAATTTACATCATCGTACATTAGCGAATTGCGTGTCATCAGCGAACAATACTATCTCATGTTTGTCCTGTATAAAAAATGGCAAATCATCATATAAATCATAATATAAATTCCGCGGTCGGGCTTAGCTAGTACCCATTGCTTGTTCAGTGGGTATAGCAGTACAGCTGGACAAAATTTCAGGTATCGTAAAATATGTGTTGTCAGATTTAAGCTGGCTCTCTAGCTATAGCGACAGTGATAGCCCAGTGCCACGCTCGCGTGGATAACCGAGTAATGCAGGTTCAATATCTGTCTCGCACATCTGATATTTTCATGTGCAAATCATTTCTAACATGAATAAAAACTTATTAACAAAAAAATAAAAACCGACTTCAAACAAAAGCACTAAAAAGTAAAAAATAACTGATTGGTAGTTTTCATTTACTATACATACCTAATCAAATATTTTCGAAGTCGGTGTGCTTTGCTTTGTATGGGCTGGCACCGATTTCGAAAATATTTGATTAGGTATGTATTTAATAGGTAGGCTAATAATTACTTAGCCATATATATATATATATATATATATATATATATATATATATATATATATATATATATATATATTATTCTTGTTATCAGAATAATTTGTAATATGTGGATATATTTTTTTAGAAAGGATACCATACTTTTGCTCCTTAACATTTGACTATGGAAGCTGTTTTGGTTACTTTAATCGCTGGACCTGGGATGCTTTATCTAAGTAAGTTTTTTAGGAAAATTATTTAATTAATTTAGTTGTACCAATTTAGATCATCTTCATTTATCTTTATTCTCCTAAAATGATAGCATGTCACTGTCTAGTTATTCTTAGATCTTATAGAGTAATAATAATTACACTTGCAACAAATATTTGGCTATATTTGATACTCAGCGACTTTTTTCCTATTCGGCCGAATGCTGAATATTTGGATACCTTATCAGCCAAATACGAATACTTAAGCAATATGTTTTTTTGTAATCAGATAATTGGTAAAATTTTTCTTATAATCAATAAATTAGTCTTAAGTACATAACCAAGTTCTGTATTACAAAAATTAACAAAAAAAAAACGATTAAATAAATTTCTATGCACTTGCATGATCGTAATTAAAATTAAGAATTCAAGGAAAAGACGATCAGAATAAATACTAATTACTGACGCCAAACAAGAAACAAACACGTAAATAAAAGTTTTACCCCCACAAATTGTGCGCTAATTGAATACTTTTCCGTAATATTCGGCTATTCGGCCAGAAAGCCCACCGAATATTCAGTACTAGCGACTCGCCTTCGCTTCACTTCGGATTCATCCCTAGACAAAACTAAATCTATTCCACGGGAACTGTACATTTTTATTTTTCCGGGATGATATATAGCCCAATATATAATACCCTTCCTCAATAAACGGGTTATCTAATGAAAAAAAGAATTTTTCAAATTAATTATTAGTTCCTGAGATTAATGCGTTCAACGAAACAAACAAACAGACTGTCTCTTTATAATATTAGTATAGATTCGGCGTATGTCGAATATACTGTTCGTTGAAAGTGTAATAATAATATAAGTTAAAATAATAACATATTTTCAGGACTTGTAGACGCCGCCTGTATTCAGGATGTGGGGGGAACCAAAACAATTTTCAGAGTCGGGATGAATGCTTGTCCACTTGCCTAAACCCACCAAACAATACTCTTGAAAGAGGTCATTTGCATACTACTTGTATTCCTATTGAAATTCAATAATAAAAGGTACTTTATTGATGGATATATTGATGTGCTTTATTTCTCCTAAAAATATTGATAACACTTAAGACATTAAGAGGGAGATTTTTATAAAATGATCAGCAACTCATCCTCGCTCCGCGTGGGTTAGTGCCTAGCTACGTTTTAACGTTCAGTATAGATTTCTCAGAGATGAGATATTTATCCGCAGTAAAAAGTATCCTATATGTTGACCCGGATAACCAGCTACCATCATACCAAATTTCATCAAAATCCCTGCAGTGGTTTTTCAATGATGCGGTAACAGACAGACAGGTACACAGAGAAAAATTCAAAAAACTATAGATTCGGACTCTGCATCGATAATAATGTCTATTTCAATAAGATTTTCCAAAAAATATTTAATGTACAGATTCGGCTTAGTTACAATTTTATTATATGTATAGATTTTAAAACTAAAATACATACACATATTAATTACAATTGTCAATTAACTCTGAGTTTTACTTTATTCTTCTTTAAATATGTTTAAATATGTTAAGTTTGAAGAGGTGCCAGCCGATACAAATCAAAACACATCAACTTCGAAAATATCTGATTAGGTATCTACAGTAAATGAAAACTACCAATGAGTTATTTTTTACTTTTTAGTGTTTTTTTCCGAAGTCAATTTTTATTAATTTTAAAGTTTTTATAAAGAATATCCAAGTACAGTCATAAAACTTAAAAATACATACACTTTTTACCCAGAACTCACCTAAACATAGAAAGCAGCTGCAAGACTTTTATAATATGATCTAGAACAGCCATACTCAACCTTTTTTTTATAGGGGCCACAAACACGCTTCAGTCATGGTCTGTTTTGTTTTCCCTTTTTTCTTTAAACAGAACTTTTAGATTGGTATCGTTTTCAAAATCGATGAACTCATCAAACAACTCTGAGTAATTACAATTTAAAACGGAAGCCAACTCTGAGATGTAACTACAGATGGGCCAATAACAAAGTTTAAACTTAAACGTTTAAAATAATTTAGGTTAAGAAAAATATATTTTGCAGCAAGGATGAAACATGTATGTCTCCGACTGCATAATATGTTCCTTCATCAACTTGTTCCCATCTCTTTCATTCGCTTTTTAGGCAGTCGAGTTATTTTTATTTTTAAACATTTTCTAATAGACTCCTTATAATATAGGTAGTGTTAGCGTCTGCTACTATAACACCATAGACTATATTGCTACATATAACACCATCTCACGAACATCATTACAAATTCTATGATAATTGTTACCTATTATTCATCATACTAATTACTAGGCAATCTAAAAATATCATATTTATTTAATTAAATTTGTGTAGGCATTTATTGTAACAAGTAAGATAAAATATACATAAATTGATTTATTGATCTTCCACTCACTGAGAAATCGATATAGGTATACTGAATAACTGTAATAGAAATCACCACATATATTATTTATTTAATTCACAATAAATCTAGTCATTAGATTATAAATGTATATTAGATGTTATTACAAATACATAGTACCATCATTCATCATTTTTACCTAAGACAGACAAGAAGATAGTGTACTAAGGTGAAAGCTCTGTCTAAAATACAACGCACATCTGAAGCTCGGTATTATTTCACTACGGTCTGTCACAATAGTCTTCTAATTATGATCTAAGTTTCGTTTCTGGGGAAAGAAAAAATAATACCATCGGTTCATACGAAAGGTTGCGACGTCTAAGGGCTTATGCACATGACGATGCGCGCTTGAAGCGCTTTTGTATAAAAACAAACAAAGAATTGAGAGAAAATTGCATTTACATTACAGGCGACGTTCACGATACGCGCTTCATCAGTTATCATAGCGTTTATGAAACGTAAATGTGCCTAGACTTTTAATTTTGTCAGCGCAGAATACGCGTCAGGTTTGATCAATTATGGACAAGTATCTTGAATAACTTTTCTATTATTAAAAGAGACTTATTTATTTGTGCTTCTCGTTCATTATTTTGTTGCAAACGATTTCAACATGATGAAGTAGGTGACTGATGCTTTTAAAATCTGCAATAAAAAAGTATTATAATTTATATAAATCGTATATACATATATATTATAGGTAGGTACGTCTCTAATACGAATCTGCATATATATCAATTATACAACTGCTACGGAAAATAATTCTCACCGAGACCATAGTTCGCACTCCAACATTTATCATATCCATAGCTTTAACAGGCAATAATCTCTGAGATTTCATCAACATTATATGGACCTTCTTTCTATTGCCCACATCCATACATTCCCAAGGGAGATTGTATACTGCGGTACTAAAATCGCTACTCTGAAAAAATTAGATAAGTACTTTCTCAAAAATTAGCGATTATTAAATGATGACAACGATAAAAACGATGAAAACTAGGTATTTATGGTTCTAGACTTACTTAACTAGCAAGGTAGGTCCCATATTTTTATTTTTATGAATTTTAAGTAAAGTCATAAAATCAAGTAAAAAGTAGAAGTTAGGACTTTTTCCTCCACTCACTCCTACTTTATATGCTTTTGACGTTGACAAAAATATTATTTTTACGTTTTTCCGTGAAATTTTTCTAATTTTTTTCTTTCTATGAACCTTCCTCGGAATTTCTATGAACCATTTAGCCATTCATTTTTATTTATAAGAGAAGACGCGCGCACGTTTTGAATAGACTAGACAAAAGGGGTTGGTATGACAGGCATTTTAGGCAATTCAATATAAAAATAATACGTAACAAAAATATAGTCATTATTTGGTAGCTCAGCTGAGTTTGTGTATTCAAGCTGCCAAATAAAGAAGAAAATCAACAATTTTTGATTTCTATCTTACAATTAATACTCTATTAAAAATGAATAAATACGGTATTAATTTAATACGCCTTAAAGTTTCCGAGATAATTGTTTAGCTAGCGCGCCACGACGCGGAGTCATCCGTCGCTGTGACGTCATTTAACAACGGTCGGTCGGTGCGTGCTTTGCTCCTGATTTGTGTGTATGAAGTTTGCAACAAAAATTGATAAAAACGTCGAATCCAGAAAAAAAATGAAATCCAGAAAAATGCGCTTGTAAAAATCACATTAAAACGGAAATTAATATGAGAGGTTTTGGATCTTAGTTTAATAATATTTAATAGGTGTAGTCGCGTATATCCTAATAATGACCTACTTTTGAAAACAATATTTTATAGATTCAAATTATAAATGGTACATAATTTTCAGTTAGGTTTACTATGTTAATGGGGAAGAATTTAGCCTTTTTCTCCCGCCAGATGACGCGATCACTATAGTCCTCAGTATATTGTAAAGTTCTACATCGTAGATGGTATTTTTTATTTTATTTAAAATTTAATTAAAATCACAAATTGTGCAGTGCTAGTATGCAAAGAATATGGATATCATTTGTTCTCAAAAGACAATAACTGAAGAAATTGTGGACTAAAGGTATAAGACGACCAAACTTGGCGCATTAACAATTTTTATATTTAAGGCTATGTGAACATCATTTTGATGAAAGTGATTTTAAAACTCTTTAAATCGTCAATGGGTGAATATTCTTTTTTATTACTTTTTTTACATACTATTTACAGAGTTTCATACAAACTTTCTTCCCCCTTTTTAACTCTTTATGGGATTAAGTTTTGAAAAATGCTAAAACACGTATTTATTTAATTGTATTGACCAAGTTTCAAGTAATTCTGATCATAAATTATTCTTTGCTCATTAAACTTTATTTCTTATTTTTTTATCTTAAAGCTGTGTTTATTTTTCTGTGTATTTTACAGTAAGAATGACAAACAAACAATTCTTAATCCCCTATTTTACCCACTTAGGTTCAAATGTAACAAAAACTAGTATTTCTAAACATTTAGGCTACGCTATCATAAAGTTTCAAGTCATTTTGCAGACCCAGTGACTTTCTTCATTGTAGGTATATTTTATATTTTCGATATAATTGATGTTTCGAATATGATCACGCTCACGGGATACACACGTGACACGGGATACACTAAGGTTAGCATTAGCTACGTTTTTTGAAGTAATAACTAAAAGCAGAAAGCTTACAATAAATGATTTTTTTTCTTACCACTGACGTAAGTAGCTCAAATGCAAATGATATTTGTATATTTTGTTGAAATAAGACGAAAGTTAATGACAAATAAAGCGCTGCATCCTCCTTATTCTAGAACAAAACGCAAGCAATATCTATTTATTATGACGTCGTTTAGTTTAAAATAAATCTACACATATGATAAAATTGTAACTAAGCCGAATCTGTAGGTACATTAAATATCCCCCCCAACGTACGTTCACCTTGTCGTGGTGGGGGGGCTCAGTAGTGCCCGGCAACCCAACCGGGCGCGAAGCCAAGAAACGCACAGGGAGGTGGCCCACTTCGGTGGGCGGTGGGAGGTGGCCCTCTTCGGAGGACAGCGTACCATGCGGGTTGCTCCTGGTACTTCTCTGATAGCAGAGTGGACCTTGGAGCAACCCCGTGGTTGTTGTGGTCTGCTTCGGCAGACCTGCCATTAAGACGGGGGAAGGCTTTGTTGGGTTTTAGTGGGTAGTACTGGCTTTGCCGGTGAGTCCCACACCTCGTGCATAAATGCATTTCCCAACGTTAAAAAAAAGGTACATTAAATATCAGCCCAACCCAACGTGCATTCAGCTTGTCGTGGTGGGGGGGGCTCAATAGTGCCCGGCAATTCAGCCGGGCGCGAAGCCAAGAAACGCACAGGGAGGTGGCCCACTTCGGTGGGAGATGGCCCTCTTGGGGGGGGCGGTGTACCATGCGGGTTGCTCCTGGTACTTCTCTGATAGCAGAGTGGACCTTGGAGTGGTCCCATGGTTGTTGTGGTCTGCTTCAGCAGACCTGCCGTCGGAGCGTCGTAGTTGAAGGCGTAAGCGATCCTGCGACGCCCCATTAAGACGGGGGAAGGTTTGTTGGGTGTTAGTGGGTAGTACTGGCTTTGCCGGTGAGTCCTGTGGGACCTCGTGCGTAAATGCATTTCCTAACGTTAAAAAAAAGGTACATTAAATATTATTAACTTATTGAAATAAACATTATTATCGATCTATAGTTTTTAGAATTTTTGTCTGTCTGTCTGTCTGTGTGTGATAGCTGGTTATCCGGGTCAACATATAGAATACTTTTTACCGCTGGAAAATATCTCATTTCTGAGAAAAAATACAAAAACTGCAATGTAAGAGTATACTAATATATAAAAGCTAAGAATTTGGTTTTTGGTCATCTGAACGCGGGCGGAACCGCGAGCAATGCTAGTATATTATAAAAATAAAAAACCCGGCTGCATAAAAGCTAACTAAAAAGATGAAGAAAACGAGTCGGGGACATAATATATATATATATTTTGGGGATATTTTATATGTATTTATAGATAGGTATACCTACTTAAATTAAACAAATTATTAAATTATAAGTTTAACTTGGCATATTATTATGATAACTGCACGTAGTTCCATCTTGTATATAAATAAAATTTAAAATGCAAGTAGGATATTATATTCGCAGTACTCGCGACTAACTTGGATAATAACCACCATGTAAAAGAAAATAATAAGTCATTCAGGTCGTGGGCATTTGGTATATGTATAAAAATGATGACTTTAATTGTATTATAGTACATATGTATATTTCTTAGAATTAATACTACAATGGCTATTAAAAATTATTCTTACCATCTGAGAGCACTCGAAGAGTAGCACACAGCCGCTCACAAAATGAAATAAATAACTAAGCAGCAGCATTGGTCCAAAAACTTTTAAAAATCTGGCCGAAAACCTAAAAAGATAAAGATTACTTACTTACCTAAACGATTATTATGTTATTGATGATAATTATACAGGTTCTTATTGACAGCCTTAACAACGAACGAAATAATATGAAATATACATATTATTTCGTTCGTTCTTAAATACTTACTCTACAATTTTACTATGCTGTACAATAATTTTGCGTAGATCATTCGATACATATCTTAATTCTTCCTCAGAGAAAAAGTCATTCTGGAGATTTGTGTCAACTGCTTTAAACGGTCTTCGAAATGTTTCCATATCATTAATAAGTATACGCATATGTCCCCAAATGTGCGCTATTATAAGTGATACTAAAAAATCGAAATAACAATAGCAAGAGCCACCAGCTAGCGACAAATAACAGTTGAAGAAAAACATAGGAAAGTACCAATAAATATTGTGAACGTAATCGAAGGGGAGTTCATAGTACAAAGAAACTTCGAATGATGCGTTTCCATATTTGTAGTTGCTGAACGCACCAGAGGCTACGTTATTATAGAGAGGTGTAATATTGAAAAAAAATGAAGAGACAAATAACGTAATATTGACGTAGATGGTGAAGTAACGGAAAATCTTGTGGAGTCGTAAATGTATCTGAAATAGAAGGAATACTGTTATAAGACAAAAACAGCGTTAGATATGTAAGGTATAAAGACTATTTGTGTTGTCTAATGACATCATAAATTTAATTTAAATAATAACTATTACATTTTACTCAGTAAAATATCGCTAGTCTAAATGTGTAGTCTAGATCACAAGTTAAAAATTAAAATTACAATTTTATTATTTAATATTTATAAATAACGCTAGTTATTTATAAATAACTAGCAGAACCCGCCCGCGGCTTCGTTCGCGCTAAAACTACAAAAAAATATGAATATCGAAAAATTCTAAAACATACTTATTTAATTGTATTGTTGAGTATTAATACCAAATTTCAAGTAATAGGGTCTTGGACTGTAGTAATAAAATGATCCCATAAACTACCGCTATACAAAACATCATATTATGATGTTTTGTATAGCGGTAGTTTATGGGGCTAGAATTCATTATTAAAAGGAATAATTAAATAAAAATCATGATTTTTCTTTATTTTTAACATAATTAATTTTTTTTTTGATATCAAAATCACGTGACTACTAACGCCAATCACGGTGCGTGACGTCACTTACCATTGTCATTAGTGTCAAGTATAGTTTTATATGATCTGTGCTAGTTTGTTGTTTATACAGTGTAGTTTCGCAAATTCAATTCTCTGTCATCTCAAAGTTTTAATCGTTTAAGTAAAGTAATATTTAAATTTACTTACGTCCCTGGTCAATACCATGGCGAACAAATTTATTCGAGCTGGCAACTCATATCATGTATCGGTGTCATGATGGTGGCGGAATTTATCGCTAAAGCCCTGATTTTTTTATTTTTTATTTTATTTATCTAAGTACTAGGTATTACACAAATTAAAAGGTGTAAAAATCTGATTAGTCTTAAAATAATCCAAGGAACCTAAATAATCTCTAAGCATAACATCATAACAAAATACAGACTAATAACATACCTACAGCAGTGACCAGTGTCGCGTCTGGCAATATGTAAGTATAGTTCAATGAATATTTTATACTGTAATGTATTCTTACATCAAAATTATCATTATAGACGTAAATCATTGATTTTATGGATTGGTTTTTCCAATCTCGCCTTGTGTCTTATTGGTGTTATTATCACATAAGGGCACTGAACAATACTGATAATACTTAATTGCACTCATTTTCAATATTCTTGTTCCCTTTTCAATTAATAATTAATCTATCGAGCCCACAGATTACGGAATATAATCGAGCTCTTTATAGTCTACACACGCTCTGTATGATATGTGACGTCACGCTGGACGATTGTTAAAAGAGTGGCGTTTTAGCGCCAAATTCAAAAGTGAAAAATAATTTTCGGTTTTTTATCATAAGAATACAGTAATTTCTGCGGGAAAATATTTTTAGCAGCATTTTATTTATGTAAGCAATAGGCTGAGATACTTTTCATAAAATAGTCCAAGACCCTATTATGATCATAAATATTTTTTTGGGTTATATTATAACGTAGTTTCCCGTGGGAATAATATAACCTCCGCGGTAAAAAGTATCCTATGTCACTCTCCAGCCCTCCAACTATCTCCACACAAAAAATCACGCCAATTCGTCAATCCTTTTCGACGTGAAAAAAACAAACAAAACAAACACTTTCACATTTATAATATTAGTATGGACTAGAGCAGCGGTCGGCAAGTAGTTTTAGGTGGGGTCCGGATACTGTGGGAAAAATTTAAGGAGGTCCAGAAAAAAACAACCGATAATAATGAAGTGCTATATATTATTTTGGTTTCAAAATTATAAAACACAAGACCTAAAATTAATGTGAGAAACTACACCGTGTTTCGTGTGCGTAACAGATTTAAACATATTTAAATCACGTCAGTTATAACTAATTCGCTCAAACATACGCACACAGGCTAGATAGGAAACTAATCCCATTAACTAATGATGACAAAACTAATGACGATTCAAAATAACTTGTATATACTTTATATTTGAATAAAGAATATTTTGATTGATTGAATCAAACCATATCAGTTGTAGGTACTTGTAAAACAGGTTAACTAGATATGTAATAAATACTAAGTTAAATTCTGTGACTTAAAAATATTATTTTATTTATAAAGGTATAGTATAACTTATCCACGTATTAATTTATACTTGGTATACAAAACAATACAATATTTGGTGGTCCGAGGTTCGACCTTTCGCGGTCCGCAAACGGACCGCGGTCCGTCTGTTGCTGACGTTGGACTAGAGACTTACCCTCGCTATCCCGAGTCAGTATTGTGTGAATAATTCCGTAACACATGGTTTTCATAATAATTATATTGGAAATTTTAATGAAACGTAAATTCGAATCATGAGTAATTTTAAGGGTCTTCGATTTTTGCGTTGGAACCCTAAATATTTTGGGAATAAAACATATGTAGCGCTACAATAAGGCCCTTCTCCCATTACGATACGCTCCAGGCGACTCTAGTATCTTGCGAGTCCCGGAGACTAATCGCCGCGGGCGCGGAGTATCGTACATTCATTTGTATCGGTGCTCGCACACTACGCTACCGGTATCGTGCATGTCGCGTCTCCTACGCATCTCCAAAAAATTTGTCCGTTCATATATATATATACTATAATAAAACTGTAGAGGTCGAATGTCTATACATAGAAAAAAAATGCTAAAAACCGAGTCAGGGGATGTAAGAAGCCAAATAGAAAAAATCTAGATTTTTTTCAAATATTTTGTTTCTTTGTCTGTTTGTACGGGCTAATCTCCGAATCTATTGGATCGATTTAAATGAAATTTTGCATTGTGGTACCTTATATCCCCGGGCAACATCTTAGATAGTTTTTATCCCGGAAAATTAAAGAGTTCCCGTGGGAAAAATAGAAAACTATAGTAACTTAAACAGCTTTGTACACAACAACTTATGCACCTAATTTAGTAAAATTTGGCATGCTGATACCTTTTATTGCCGGTCTAACAACAAGTTACTTTTCATCCCGGAAAAATTAACGGTTCCCGTGGGATAGATCTGTGTGTGATTTTCTAGAGGCGAACCCGAGCGAAGCGAGGGTGAGCCGCTAGTATAAATATAATATGTATGTATTTAAAGTTATAGTATATGTAGGTATCAACTATTATTATATAAATAATAATAGTTGATACCTACACTACACATATTATATTATAAAAATATTTAAAATTACTTACCGTCATTGCAAAATCCGAGTGTCCTTTACAATTAAATAAATGTATATAATTTACGAATTCTGCGACGAGGTTTTCGTATTCTTTCCAAAATATTAGTAACAATCTAAACTAAAAAAGTGCAATTTTAAATTAAGTAGAATTCACTAATATAATTTCAGTAGCATAATAAATTAAAGATTGTTAGTACTTACTGTAAGCACTGCAGTAATAGTAGCAGTTACATACGTATGACCTAATATTGTGAAAGGTACAACATTAAAATTCCTCTTTAAATAAAGGAACCCTGTAGGGACAGTGATGAAAAAAATCGATATTATAAACATTTTTTGCCAAATATAATATTTGCTTTGTGTTTCTCCTAATAGTTTCCCGGGCCAAGCATGGATAAACTTTAGGCGTAATCTCATAATTTTCATGTATGTAATATCCTGAGCTTTAACTATTCCACTAAAATTAGTAATAAAAGTTGTGGTTAATAGATTATTATTATGTAATGAATCAGATAATGATTTTACAATTCGTAGAAGTTATCAAGTTAATGTGAAGACCTGTACCTCATTGTGCAGCTTAAAAATAAGTTATTCAAATGAAAAAACTACTCAGTGTAATCACATAAATAACTATGATATAACCTCGTGCTTTTTTTAACTTTTTAAACACACATTAAAAGCACATATCTTAATGATTGAAGTGTTTGTTCAACAGCTTTTAACGAAATGTACAGCTGAAAGATTTGTCCGCCATAAAATAAGTATCTCATAAATATTGTAATGTATAATAACACTAATTTTCTTTTAATTAACGGTGAATCAAATTAGGTTAAACGTCTCCTTAATTTCGTAGAACATGCAGACGTAGAATGTAAATTGAACGAAAAACCAACAGTAGATACGTATGTATACCTAATTGATTATCATTTTTAATCACCGACTCAAAAGAGGGATGTTATAAATTTAACGTGTGTATCTGTTTTTCTGTCGGTGGCATCGCAGAGCCCAAATGGATGAACCGATTTTAAAATAGTTTTTTTTTTGTTTGAAAGGTGACTTAATATCTCGTAACTTGGTGTCTCGTTACTTCAATGACATTGCAACGATAAGGTATTCTTAGCCTAATGCTGCAGCTTCACCAACGCGTCAACTCTTTACTAAAATACTGCAGAGATATCGTGTTTAGTTAATTTTTAAACATTTTTTTCTCCTCCCATATGCAGAACTATCAGAGTATATCTCTTCTGGTACTCATGGGTAAATCTGATTATCAGGCAAGTACCTATTAGTGTAAAAACCTAATGAGACGAATCAATGAGACGAGATGAGACAAAAGCCGAAGATACACAGTCAGCATCTTAAAGGTATATCCAAAAAAAGAGCGCTCTTTTCAAAATATAGTCTCTAATTGCGTGAGCTACAGCTAGCGGATGTTCGATATGACTCAAAGTGTTCGTTACAAAAATGTAA